TTTTATAAATATAGGACAGTCTGAGCAGTGAGCTACAAGAAAATTGATCATGTATAGAAACTGAGATGTGCTGTTGAAATTACACTTCATCTCATATCAAGATATATCTGGGATTAAATATGTCGCTAAATGTCTTCACACTGACAGAAGGTGCAGTTTCACTCCTCTGGACTACTTAATATCAAAGTAACCCTCAATGTAAAATGAGTGTGGCATCCCTGGTCTAAGGCATCATGATATCAAATCAAAAATTAACATGACAGGATGAAATGTAGCTGTTCAGCCATGCTTGCACAGATATCCTGTACATTTTTAATCAGCAAAATTTTATAATCACATTGGCAATCAGCACCATATCAGCAAGTATTATAAGTGGAAGAAGTCAATACATGTAAGGGTAGCTCAGTTTTACATGCAAAAGTACCCTAGTCGCCCTTTGATCTTGTACTAATGAGTGCACATTTAACACCAGCAAGAATTTTATTATCTTGTTCCAGCAGTCAACAGGATAACCTGAAATACTTTTAGGACCTTACATCCCCCAAATGAGTTTATATGGCTGAACTGTCTGGTTATGGAGATACTGCGAGTTTGATACTATCCGTGTAATATAAGCAGCATTAAATTTACACCAATTAACACCAGTGTCTTTTCCAGGAAAAATAGTTTTTTAATGTTAAACTTTTTTTTAAAACATCAGTCATTCTTGTATTTCTTTTTAAGCCACACTATCATAATTGCAATTTGGAATGATAAAAATAATTTGTTGTGATAATTTATATACATAAACTGCTCAGAAGTGTTAAAAAATAGTGTTTGTTTTAATCTTGAAATTGTTATTGCCTTAATATGAAATAACTTGTTAAATGTTAATGTTAAATGATTTTATTTTCACAAAGGGCACCTTCCAATTCTGCCTGTGTCCACTCAGCATCTCTGCAGATGATATATTGAGGAGCAGTCACTGAGAAGTACACCAAACTGCCTGAAAAGCAGTTTTCAGATGGTAGAGCGTAACACTTGGACAGAACAGACATCATCGATGCTCACTGCTGACTCTCACTTCAAGTGTTCTCAGCTGGTCGGCTGATTCAGCCGATCCTGCACCCTTTGACCACCATAAAACTCATCTCTGTTTCATCTCCGTGCCACTGCTGCTGTTGCTTCTCTTGCTTCTCTTCCTTCCCTTGCTTCTGGCTCTCCTGCAGTTGTCGTTCCCTTTTGTTGGAAGTCAACTGACAACTGACTTACTCACGACCCCCACGGGTGCTTGGGTGTCCATAGGCTGCTCATTCTTTTGCCAGGAGCCACCGCAAAGTATCACGTGGAAAAGGAATGCTTAATGTGAGGAAAAACTGAGCTTTTGTCATGACCAACTGTGATGGAAATGTGCACAACATCTTTACGTAGTTACACTGTTTAAAAAGAGTGTCAGTTATTGATTGATTTATTGAATGTATGCTTATTTTATTGGTTTTAAACTAAATGTGTTATATTTTTACTGCCCTCTTGCTGGTTTTAATTATTATCCTGTTATTCTTTTAATTTTTAGGCTGTATCATTTTTATATCAAGTCCCTTTTTTAATGGTTTTAATTCATGCACTTGATGATTTCTGTTCCTGTGAAAGACTTGGTTGTTTTATCAACAATAATGCGCATGTTGTTTTAAATAAATATTAAAATTAACTAAATATTTATTACATGCACAACATAGTTATATGTGTGCTGTCTTTGTAGTAGCTCACACATGTTGCCTCATAAATAACATTTTCTTTGTTTGATTGGTACTTACAATATAAAATACTTCAAGTTTGCTTGTGTTACAGGAAGGCATTGACAGCTGTACATGCACAAGAAGGCTCCAGGAAAGGAATGTGCAATATGCCAATCGTTATTCCCTGAAAAGAATCAATTCCACTGAACTCTTTGGAAGTTGAACATTTAAAAAAATGAAAACAAGTCAGGTTTGTCTTCAGATGAGAAAAAATCCTTTATTATAAAATCGCCTTTAAACATAGTTGTTAAACCTTATCCAAACTGAGTGGTTCAGTTTAAGAAATTTTACGAGGAAATAATGAGCCTGAACAAAAAAAAACAGTTTAATATCTTCCCTTATAATTACCCTTTATTATCCTCTACAGTGAAGCATTTAGTAAAAATTCCATCTGATTTACTACAGTGAAGATGAAACTGCCCCTTTTAATCGCAGTAATCGGTATCTTAATATGGATCTACAGTTTGCTACACTATTTATATGCACACATACTGTATATCGATACACAGGAGGGTGTATGGTGTCACATCGCCTTCAGGTATTGGTTTCTATGACAAGAAACATTCACAAAGTGATCCAGTTATTATTTAAAAGACTTACTCTGTATGACAGTGTTTAAAAAACTTATTTTAAACAAAAATCATATTTTTCTTTATTAGGCAGAATTAAAACCTAAAATCAGGTTTTCATAAACGCCTAAAACTGATTTTTCTGTTCAGAAAAGAAAATAAATAAATATAATTTGGCATCTTAATCTAAAACTAAAAATTTTTTGTCAAACAGTCAATTTGAAAATTCATGGATAACAACAATAGTTACATTTTAGCACTCAAAACATCATTTTGATTAAAGAGCTGGCACATACTGGTGGATTAATCATTACAGAAACATTCCAAAAAATCATTTTAGTAATTACTAATACTATTAATTAGGGAAACTGTGGCATAAACCTTAAATTGGGTGGTGATCTAATAGACATTTTAAGCACTGTATAATAGATGCTATGATTTTTAATAGTAGCAGTTAGATATGCTTGCCTGCGAAGTCATTTCAGCCTGTCATTGCCATTATGTAATTGAGCTCCCAAAACATCCTACCTTGCTTGGGTACAATAGCACGGTGAATATGATGGTTTAATAAAATTGTACTTAATTTGTCCCCTGCTATCGTCCAAAATCAGACCTCATGTGTCACCTCTGACTGCTGCAGTAGGCCCTTCTAGGGTGACACAGGCTCCAGTGTAACACCCAAAACCCTTTCATGTCCTAGCTGTCGGGCTGGTGAGAAAAGTGTGG